TATATAATCCCTTATATAACCGCCTTTAAGGAGTTTAGACTATAGCTCATCTAGCCGTAGTAAGGCAGCCGGGGCATCTGGTGGTTCGTGGCTTTCGTGTGGGTTTAGGGTTTAGGGTTGTTTAGGGTTTGGTGTTCTTGCGGTTCTTGGAAGTTTCAGGGTAGCTACAAGCCAAAGCCGAATGGTGACATCAGCATGAGCACCAGCTGCAATATTACCCAACATCACCTAATATTTTCCAATATAGCCCAAGATAACCCAATATAACCCACGATAATCCAAGATAATCCAAGATGACGATAACCCAAGATAACCCAAGATAAAACCCAACATCACCCAATGTTACCCAATATTACCCCAATTGCCTTCCTCCAGTAGCCTGTTTCCAGTGAAAGCTTTCGTCCAGCCGGCTGTAAGAGGGTTTAGGGTTTAGGGTTCATAATTGTGGTATAGAGTGCCTCAAACAGACCTTAACATTACTTTTTAGGTTCCTACATCCCTTTATGTAATCCCTGAAGAAGCCCAGGTTTCATATCATGCTGATTTTTCTTTCCCATGTGATTTCCCATTGTAGGGGTTATGTAACCCTATACAGTACGAATATGCCCTATGCAATATCTATCTATCGGTTTATATGTATATATATATACATATAAATACAAACATGTATGTATGTATGTCTGCCTGTCTGTCTGTATGTCTGTATGGTACCCAAAGATATTTCTTTTCTATAAGTCAAAAAGGAAATCATGTATCATTTTCCGCGTTTGAGCTCTGAATTCTGAATCAAGCCATCTGTGTTTTAAGCGCAGCTCGAGAGCTTGAAAAAGCTTGAACGTTGGAATTTCAATCTTCGGGATCCAAGATCCAATGATCTCTTGATTCTGGGATCCAAGATTGCTTTGAAAGACTTCCTGGGCAATCTTGGATCTTCCCGGAGATTCAAAGTCTATCTTGTTCAATCTCCCGAGCCGTTGGTACATCTCACCAAGGTCGCTTGGAAATCCAAATCTTAACCTCACCGGCAATTCACTCACGCACTCCCTCCCTCACTTCCTTCCTTCCTCCTCACTCACGCACGCAGTCATTCACCCACCCACTCACTCATTCACTCACTCATACCCACTGGTTGATACACGACAAACAACGCAGAACATCAACGTAGCTAACCGGTGGATTAGCTAGCTACTCTACTACTGAGCGAACTACCGTACCAATCTCCATGTGCATGCCATGTCAGCTTGCTCGTGATACATAGCAGCCCCGCTCAACGTAAGGGTTTTGACGACTAGCATTCGCACTACTAGCCTACTAGCCCATCATGGCTAAAACGGAACGGTTGGTCCCTGAAAGCTATGATGTACCTCACGTCTCTCCTTCATCCTCCATACTAGTTTGTTCTAAATATAGTAAGCTTTGACTTCTCTCAAGTCAATTGTATGCCTCTTGTATCCTTGCTGCCGAGAAGATAGAATTCTATTCAGTTCCATTCTTGGGAACAGATTCAAGTTTAACAGTTTAAACGTATGAAGCCTCGTATGGCTCGAAAAGATTTCCACAGACCTACGCTTCCATTTTTGGAGGGTCAGCCGATGAGAGGGGCCGAAAGAAAGGTTGTGGGTGGTGGAAAAGGGGGGGGGGGCACAAAACCAAGGAACAATTTAACCTGCGTGTTCGCTTCCCCCCCAAAGGCAGTTCTCTTGATGTTTTTTTTGTTCTTCCCAGGAGGCAAGGTCGCACTCCCACAATTCTTCATTGACATGAACTGCAGTCTAAACTCCTGAAAGGCAGCCTATAAAGGGGACGATTATAGAGCTATATAGAGCCTGTTAAAGGGGATACTAGGAGTTTGCAGTGCGTCTCCCGGACAAGAAATGGGTAAGCCAGGCGTAGCGTACCCTTCATTTCTTAGCTAGGCAGTGATTTCACATTTCCACTATTTCAAGCCTCCAGCTG